CCCCCCCCCCCCCCCCCCCCCCCCCCCCCCCCCCCCCCCGCGGCAACTAACCCCGCCCGGGGAGACACACACACACACACCCGCGCAGAAGCTAACTCCACCCGGGGAGCCTGCCTCCACGGCAGCTAACCCCGCCTAGGGAGCCCGCCCCAGCTCACCTTGGCTCCGCCTCCTCCGCTGAGCACACCAGCGCCGCTCTAATTCTCCTCCCCTCACAGGCTTGCAGTGCCAATTGGAGGAGACTTAGAGTGGGGGCTGTGTGCTCAGCGGAGGAGGCAGAGTGGAGGTGATCTGGGACGGAGAGCGGTTCCCCTGTGCGCCCCCCCTCCCGTTACTGTGGGCGGCCCTCCCCGTGTCCCCCCCCACCCCAGCTCACCTCCACTCCACCTCCTCGCCTGAGAGGGCTTTTAGGCACCCCCAACCACTAGGCAGCCGCCTAGTTTGCCTAAATGGTTGCACCTGCCCTGGTGGCTTCCCAGAGTCCCCAAGCAGAGTCTCTGTTGTGTCTGAGGCCTCCATTTTCCGTCTCTGTGAGGCCTCTTGTTGCTTCTCCCCTCTCAGGCTTTGGTTTGTGCACATGGACACCGAGACAGTCTCTCTCTCTGTCTGTGGAGCTTCATGCAAATTGTCCAGGACTGCTTCCTGGCTCAGTGGGAAGGAAAGTGCCTGCCCTCCCCAGGAGCATGGCTAGGTGGGAACCTGTTCCAGCACCCTAAAGTTTGGATGGAGATGGGCCCGTTGGTTCAGGCTGGGAGTCCCTGCCCTCAGTACAGTGGGGAAGCTTTAATGGAGGGGGGGGGGGAATCCTGTCCCGTTGTTGGGTCGGGGCCCTGGCACTTGGGGGCCTCCCAAGGGTAAGTGAATGGTTGATTTTTATTTTTTTTTTTAATGTCATGTTGCGCTTTGAGGGCAGGTGGGTGTCTTGTTTCTCTCTGGCATGGGGCCGGCCGGAAGGAGGGAGAGCAGGGGAGAGCTCTTTCTCAGTAATAACCTGATCTGAGCCTTTTCCTCCTTTGTGTCCCTTGCAGGTGGATGATGCTATGCTGATGTTTGACAAGACAACCAACCGACACCGAGGTGAGGGCAGCACCCTGGCAGCGTGTGTGTGTGTGTGTGGAGAGCTGGCAGGGGATTGCGTAATGACAGGAGCAGCGTGTGTGTGTGTTTGTGGTGATGGGGGTGGAGGGGAAGCTAGTGTCCCGTGGCCAGCAGCAGGGCATGCAGGTCACAGCTGCTCTTTATCTCACCTCCCATCACCCCATCCCTTAGCATCCGCATCCTTTAGCAGAGTCCCTCGCAGCACAGAGAGCTTTTGTCCAGCCCGTTTCCTGTGCTGTAAACTTGCCGAGTGGCTGATATGTGAGAGGAGGCAGCCTCCTCCCCTCCCCAGCTACCTACGTGGCTCCAGTCGTCTGTGTGTGTCTTACCTTGTCCTGAGTAATCCGAACCCTGGGGAAGCTGACGCAAGACCCAGAAGAGTGCCTGCCTCTGACCCCTTCCTCAGCCCGGGGCTCCCAAGTCACCTTTTCATCAAATCCCATTTGTGGAGTCTGGTTACAGCCTGGGAGCCTGGCTTTGGTATTCAGGCTCTTCGGATCAGACAGGAGACCACTGAGTTTGAGCCTTAGTTTTGGAGGTGCCTGAATATCTTGTACATGTGCCCTCTAACAGACTACCACTCTTGGAGGAGGACACCACAATGGTGTGCACAATCCTGAGGACAGAACTACACTGTGATGGTGGCAGCCCTTTGCTGGGCCACTGCCATGTTCACGTACATCACTAAACACTTACACAGTGTGTTTGTCTGCCTCAGACTCACACAGGAAGCACTTTCTGCTTGTGGCTCTCTCTCCCAGCTATACTTACGTATTCACTCTTGCTGTCCAGGGTGCCCTTCAGTGCATCTCATTTTCTTACTGTTTAGGTGATTCTGGTTGCCTGATTTTATAGATGTACCCCTCCAGCCCCACCCTAATGGGGGCGGAATGGCTAGCTCATAATAAATCATCAGATCCTGCACTTCTGCCCTCTACAGGACTTGTCTAGAGCAAAGTAAGCAGTCATGAGAAAAGAGGGAGGGTCCTCGCATGGACCAGTAACTGATTAAAAGACCAGAAACAAAGGGTAGTAATAAATGGTCAGTTTTCACAATGGAGAGGGTTAAATAGCAGGGTCTCCCAAGGATCTGTACCAGGACCAGTGCTGTTCAACATATTCATAAATGATCTAGAAAAGAGGTAAACAGTGAAGTGCCAAAGTTTGCAGATGATCCAGAATTACTCAATGTAGAGACCTCCAAAACTGACTGCAAAGAGTTACAAAGGGTTCTCACAAAACTGGGTGACTGGGTAACAAAACGGCAGATGAAATTCAGTGTTGACAAATGCAAGGTAATGCACATTGGAAAGCATAATCCCAACTATACATACAAAATGCTGGGGTCTAAATTAGCTGTTGCCACTCAAGAAAGAGATCCTGGAGTCGTAGTTAGTTATCTCAAAACATCTCTGTGTGCAGCAGCAGTCAAAAAAGCAAACCAAATGTTAGGAACTATTAGGAAAGGGATAAATAATAAGACGAAAAAGTATCATAATGCCACTATATAAATCCATGTTATGCTCACACCTTGAGTACTGCGTGCCCTATCTTAAAAAGATGTATTCGAATTTAAAAAGATACAGTGAAGGGCAACAAAAACAGATAGGAGAGATTAAAAAGACGATCTGTTCAGCCTAGAGAAGAGATGACTAAGGGGGTTATAATAGAGGTCTATGAAATCATGAATGGTTTGGAGAAAGTGAATAAGGAAGTGTTATTTACCCCTTCACATAATGCAAGAAGCAGGGGTCACCCACTGAAATTAATAGGCAGCAGGTTTAAAATAAATGTAAGGAAATAATTCACAATATGCACAGTCAACCTGTGGAACTCATTACCAGGGGAAGTTGTGAAAGCCAAAAATATAACCAGGTTCAAAAAAGAATTAGATATGTTCATAAAGAATAGGTCCATCAATGGCTATTAGCTAATATGGTCAGGGACGCAACCCCATGTTCTGCATGTCCCTAAACCTCCCAATTGCCAGAAGCTGGGATTTAATGACCAGGGACGGATCACTCGGTAATTGCCCTGTGCTGTTCATTCCCTATGAAGCACTTGCCACTGTTGGAAGACAGGATACTGGGCTAGATGGACCACTGGTCTGACTTAGTATGGCCATTCTTATGTAGAGCATTACAGAAGGGCTAGGGAGGACTGCCTTCCTCTGAGACATCAGGTATTGGTCCCTGCCTGAGGCAGATACTAGACTAGATGGACCAATCATCTGGTCTGGTATTTGCAACTTTGTGGCTTCAGTGTAGGGTACTTTCTTTTGAGTTTCCAAGGCACCCAGATAGCAGATCATGATTGGGGCAATATAAATGCCTACCTGGAGAGAAAGGAGAAGCTCATAGAAAGAGTCCAGTCCAGCTTGGAAAATACTGAAAAATAGAAAAGTGTGTGTGTGTGTTTAAATGATTTTTAGCACTGGTGAAGTTGACTCAGTTAGTAGCCCTGGAGGCTGAAAGCTCCATTTAGCCGCAGCTGCAATGCAAGCTCACTCAAAGTCCCTCGCTGCCATGCCTCCACTCTTCCCCAAAAGGGCCACCCCTGGCTGTGAAAAGGAAGTTTGGACTCCGGAGCTCAGTCAGTCCTTTGCCAAGACTGGCAGCAAAGGGGTCAGTTAGAGATGTGCTCTGAGCACAGGGCTGGGAGGCAAGAACTCCCAAATTCTATTCCCACCTCAGATACTGTTGGACGGTGTGAACTTGAGCAAATCACTTAACCTTTCCATGCCTTGGTTTTGCTCCAGAAATAGTGATTCTGATACTTGCCTGTCACACACAGGGCTGTAAGGACCAATTAATGTACAGGTAGGGCTTTGAAGGTGAAATGTGCTGAGTATCACTATTTGGGATGGTGATGTTTGTGATGTGGGTGCCTGTCTATTGGGGACTGGACTGGGACCCACCACACTCATTTCACATTATGAACAGGCATTGGTAGGACACCGTTTTGTTCGTATGGACCTCTGCTGGATTGGAACCCTCTATTGTGGTATCCGTTATTAAGCCATCTAGTTTGTCTTGGAAAAATAGCAAAGTTTAATAGAATAAATCCATCAGCAACAAGTGTCATGGGCTTTAATGAAGGTGGGAGTTGTGAGGAGAGAGGGAAGTCGGGGAGAGGACAGTGACTTCCGTGCTCCTCATATGAGTGCTGCATGCATGCAGGACTTACTGGAGACCAGAGAGTAGTGGAAGTATTGCCATGACCCAACTGGTCCACCCCAGGTTGCCTTCTCTCCTGGGCATGTGGGACAGGCAAGTGGCAGGTACTGATCACACAGACTTCTGCCCTGACCAGGAAGTGTTGCCCTTTCTTCAGGGTTTGGATTTGTCACATTTGAGAGTGAAGATATTGTGGAGAAGGTGTGTGAGATCCACTTCCATGAGATCAATAACAAAATGGTGAGTGTGAAGAGCAAAGCTGGCGGTGGAGGGATGGGATAAAGCACTGGGGCTGTGGGACTGCAGGTCGGAAGCAGATGGGACCCCTGAAATCACTGCCCCAGATCTCTGGAGGAGATCCTCAACAAGGAGGGGAGCCACTGCTGGTATTTGGAGCCCAAAAGGCAACGCAGTCTAACCATAACTGGGAATTGTAACTGTGACCCCTGAGTGCTGTACAAGCGTTAGCTGAACTTCTCCCCACCCCTGGGAGGCAGGTATCCTCATGTAACAAACGAGGACACTGAGGCTCCAAGGTTGTCTTGCCAAAAGTCACAGAGGAAGTCAAGGACAGAACCACGGGTAGAACTTGTAGTCACCTGTTTTAACTACTCAACAATGCTGCTTCTCTAGCAGAGTAACAGGGCGGGGGAGGCTGCAGGCCGTGGTAGTGGCTGCAGGATGGGAGGGAGGCTTCGGGAGTGGTGCGTGGGACGGAGAAAGCGCAGTGGTTCCAGTGTACTAAGGCAGCCCTCCTGGCCTGTGGCCCGCGGTACTGTACGTGCTCCAAGCAAACGTGCTGTGCAAGTCAAGGCCGAGGTCCGACACTTTTTTTTTTTCCCTCTCTTGTGGCAGGTGGAATGTAAAAAAGCTCAGCCAAAGGAAGTGATGTCCCCCACTGGCTCTGCGAGAGGGCGGTCCCGAGTGATGCCTTATGGGATGGATGCCTTCATGCTTGGGATTGGCATGCTGGGTAAGTGCTGCAAAAGAGAACGCTTCTCTCTAGCCCCCACGTCATACTTGGCAGCAGCAGTAGGGCGCTCTGCTCAGGGGGCAGAAGGCTTTATTCTGGGACTACGTTTCTAGGTATAATACAATGGGGGAGGTGGCTCAGGCTGTTCAGGAAGAGATTGGATCTATGACATCAGACCCCATTTTGAAAAGCAGCAGTGAAGCTGGGAGGAGGAGGGCTGGGATCAATTTATGATCACAAATCGCCCTCTGGTGGCAGCATGGAAGAACTGTAGATGTACCGCGTATGCACGGTTCTAGAGGTGGAGTCACAAAAAGAACAGGAATGCAGTTGGGTTGGGAGAAATGTTAACGTGTCATTGGAATTCCTGTCCAATATAATACCTATAGAACAGGATCTACGCTGTGACTCAACACAAATAAAAGGCCGTATATGCCCTGGCAACACAATTCGGCCAAAAGCAGAGTTTTCCACGTCCAAGTATATTACTGCTGTACTAGGCCAGACTTTACAATGAATGTTTGCTTCAAGAGCCCCAAATAGTATTAGTCACCCTTCTTCAGCTGGGTGAAGGGGAGAGTATAATCACTTCAAATACACAGGCAGAGTGTGTTCTCTGTGTATCGTCCTAATAAACAGTCTCATTGTTTTCAAGGGGGATAAAAATGTCCTTGAGAATCCAGTGGAGCCTGTATACCACTGACTTCCCTCCTTTAGGGAACGTATTCTGGGTCACAAATCAAACTGGCCACTCTGACAAGGAAGTGTCTATGTGTGGCATTGTGGGGACCTTTTTTCTGTGTCTTCAGAGCAAATGTGTTCAGGTTACAAAGGAAAAGGTGTGGGTCCCCTCCCCCCCCGACTTCCAGACCAATTAGCTCCTTTTAGGGTCTGTGAGTCAAACTTGGGTCTTTCTTGCTTGATCATCACCAGCAACCTGAGCCCATCCAACCTGTACAATAGGTGTGGTTAAGGTGAACAAACACACGTGTCCTTTGGGTCAGGGCCCCCAGGGGTGGGCCTGGAGGAGGGACACTCCAACCTGGCACTTGGATCCCAGCTAGGGCTGGCAGGCAGAGGAAAAACACCTCTTCTTTGCATTTGCACTCAGCACATTCTCACTGGAGTTGCTGAGATAAAATAGATCTGGAACCCCACAAAGCCACTTCAGATTTTAGTTTGGGGTTTTTTTGAGTAGACCTGTATTTTAAACCAGCAGACTCAAATGAGTCACTGGGAAATCCATGTACGCTTGTCATGGGAGATCTCAAATCAAACATTCAGCTCTTAGTCAGCTGCTGTCTTTCTCATGGGACTGTTTAAAGTAGGTGATTAGCCATGACAGCGTCTCAGGAAATGGGAAGACTTGTAATAGTGATCTGTGCCAGGAACAGGCTATGTGCCGGGAACAGGCTATCTGCCTGCATGTTTTCAGCCACCTGCTCTTTCTGTAACTACTTCAGAATGTTAGCCAGCAGCTCTATTACTAAAGTAGATGATGGGTGATTTAGTACCGGTCAGTCATCCATATGCTCCCACTGGCTCTCAGAGCCCCTTTTCACAAAACCTGCTAGTGCTAGTTTGTGGGACCTTGAGCTTTCTGACAGGGAAATCTACATGTCTTTGCAGGGTAACAATGTCTGGAACCACGAAGGGGCAATGTATTAAAATTCCATTACAATTCTTCCCCAAATTCCTGCACGGTACTACGGTGTGCGCACGCGTGTGTTGTTCAACTGCTATGTTACTTGGTCCTTTCACAGTGTGTGTTCAGGCTATGGGGAGGCAGGCAGAGCTGGAACTGGAAAGTGGAATTGTGTGTGTTCGTGTAACAATCCCCTCTTCTCTGCTGGCAGGTTATCCAGGTTTTCAAGCTGCCACTTATGCCAGTCGGAGTTACACGGGCCTTGCGCCTGGCTACACTTATCAGTTTCCTGGTAAGTGCCTCTTCCTGCCCATTCATCCAGTTTGTCCTCACACTAAGGGAAGCCCATGGCATGTGACCCAATCTCTGCCTGTTTTACTCTTGCCCTAGTTTGGACTTTCTTTAAATCTGTGAAGGTGGGAGGGGACGGAGGCCTGGAATAGGTGGAAACAGCCTACTGGCTAGTTAGGAAGGAGGCTGTAGCCCTGTGAGCGTCTGCTGTTGCTATCCTCTCACTCCAGTGACAGGAAAAGTCCTAGGTTCATGCGCCCCCCTCTCTGCTAGGTTCCTCCTTGGGGGCTGCTATTACACAGAAGGGCCCTTGCAGCTCCGCCTGTCTTGCTGCCTCTGTGTGTGTCTGTCTCTCCACCAGAGTCGCCACCTTTCTGAAAACAGAATGCAGGACTTGAACCCTGCTAGCTTTAAATGGGCCTGAAGTTCCCCAGGCTTCCTAAATGTGAGAGTCTAAGATGCAGTGAGTTGTATCCTGGATCTCTTAAAGACCCAGTAAACCCCTCTTCACAACACTGCATATTTGTACATTCCCTAACCTGCCCCATTCCTTGTCTTGAAGCCCATATGTGACCATCACTGCCTGGTCCCTGATGAATGCACTGCAGCCGCTCTGAGCTTTCTGTTGGCCTCCTCTCCCTCCCCTTCCGGCACAAGCAAAGAGCAGGCTGCAAGGCCACCCTATAAAAGACTGCCCTGCTGTTCTCAGGACGAGTGGCAACTCTGAGTGTCCCCTGCCCGCCTCTGCCCCCCACCCCCAATGGATTGTGTAGAAAGGCCTGACATTAGGCGATTGGCAACGGGCTCTGGCAGCTTTCACCTCTAAGCTGCTAGTCAGAACCCAGCCTATGTTGGCGGCGACTGAAAGTTGCTGTCTGGTAGTCTGTGTGAATCCAGTTGCTGGGTCTCAGTCCTAGCGAACCAGGTGTTCATGTCACAAAGCCACCTCCAGCTCAACTGGCACTTGTTGGCAGTCCTAGCTGCGAGGCCAAGGATTGGCTGGGCCAAAGAGACTCAACTTCCCTTTCAACCCTAGAGATGGTCCCCCCAGGGCAGAGTTGAGGCACATGGTCTGGGCGGGGCAGCGTAAGGCAAGCTTCCACTGCCCTTGCCTGTGCTGTACCTGTTTTGGGGGTAAGCAGAGGCTTTCAGTCTCCAGTGCTGTCAATCCAACTCGAAATTCATTTAAAATAAAGAGTCGAAGGCCGGGTGCTGCAGTGACTTCATCCATCTCTGTCTGGCCTTGTGTTCTAGCCAGAAAGGCCCAATGCTGCTGTCTCTCTGCCAGATCCCCCTCGGGGGCGTTTTACAAGTTCCTAAGTTGTCTTACATTTCGTTTTTAGAATTCCGTGTAGAGCGGACCCCTCTCCCGAGTGCCCCCGTCCTCCCCGAGCTCACAGGTCAGTCCCACTGATTTCCTAAAACTCACAAGCTGGAAGGGGAGAAGGGGCTTCGGGTTATTCCAGTGATGTCGCTGCCCCATAGCTTGGCGCAGTGAGACTGGAAACGTTCCTCATTTCCTCTTCCATCTGCACTAGCTACATCAAGAACAGGGGCTGGGGGCGAGGGGTGGAGAGGGGAACAGAACCATGCATATCACATTGGAGGAGATGCAATTCATACAGGATGAGGGCAAGTGGGCTTGAATCCCCAGATTCTCTAGCTTCTGAACTGCTGCTGTTTCCTGCCCTGTTTTCGCTTCTTATCCAGGGGTTAGCCTCTAAATCATTGATGAAAACTTGTTGCTAGCAATGTGAATTCTAAGAAATCCACTACTGTAGTCCCAGCCTGAGCTGGTGTAGTGCAGGGCACTGGCCCTGGGGGAGCTCACAGCTACTTTGATCCTGCCTGGGAGCTGGGAGTTAGAGTAGGGAATGATATTTCAGCACTGGGTATGGTGAAGCTCACAGCTACCTAAGCCCCAGGCTCTCTAGGCAGGGAATGGTAGAGGAACATTGAGTGTAGTGGAGCTCCCAGCTGTACTCATCAGTAATGGTGGTTGAGCCTGGTGTAATAGAAGGGGGGATGATGAAGTTTTGCAAGGACTAGTCAGGAGTCTGAGTATTTCCCCAAATACCTGCTTCTTCCCCCAGCTCCTCAGGCCTCTGAGTTTGTGTAGCATGTATTCTTGGTGCTGCTCTTTCCATAGGATCTTCCTTCCATGGCCACATTTTCCCAAGCTCTGTAGCATGCCTGGTATTTGTCTTAGAAAAACAGCTATGTCTAGCAGTGGGCTGGTCTCCTCCTCCCTATCCACTGTCCCATCTTCCATAACATCCTTTCACTCTGCATAACATCCTTTCACTCTGACACTTCCTTGACACCATCTGTTTCTTCAAGGACTGGATTTGTCTGTAGTGAGGATGCAGACTTCTGCAGGGAGCTTATTATTTGGAAGCTTTGCTAGCTGCAGGGGGTTTGGGGAGGATTGGAAGGGGAGTTTTCCAATGGCGCAGAATAGTGCTGATCCTCATAGAGTGTGCACATGGAAGAACGCTGAGGTTGGTAAAACAAATTACTCAAAGGGAAGTGGGGTGTGTTAAGTTAATAAAGCCCTCTCCTGGAGCCACATATATAGTTGAATAAGCCTCTGAAATTCCACCTGTGGCTGTGATTCTGCCAGTTCTCAAACGGAGTAGGGTTGGACTGGGTCTGTATTTGAATAGGGGGCTTCCCAGAAAAAAACGGGTGTTGCAAGAGTAGTGTTGATAACTCAGTAAAAGGTGCTCTTCCCTCTAAGTCCACATAGGACTAGTGCCCCTGCAGCGTGCGAAGAGGCACACCTCGCTGCTGGAGGAGCATAAAACAGAAGTCCTGCTCACTGGAGCTCATTAGAGACACACTGGTACTTTTGCCAGCAGTGAACTATTAATGCTGGTGTCCTGGCTAGCTGCCATGTTGAGTAATTACAACCTCTGTCCCTAGATTCCCCCCAGAATTTCAGCTGGAGATGGTGGCATTCCTCACTTCTCTGCTGGGGGCTGTTAAACAGTCACCGGGCAACTTGTTGTCAGCGGTGGGTGCTCGATTCATGTGCACGCCTTGGGCTTGCTCCCACAACGTATGTGCTCCCGCAGCTCCTGCTGGGACATCCCTGGGAACTGAGGGCATTCAGCACCTTGCAGGACCAGGCCAGTAGGTTGTGTGTGAAGTGCTTCAGGAACCTTCTGGCTGAACGTGTTCTATAAATGTAAACCATCAGCAGGGGGTGTATTGAGTAGCATTGAAACAGGAAGGGTGGTACTCTGAGAGTATCCGGTGCTGCTCCTGTGTGAAGCAGCTAATGAGATGGGAGCTTCTTAGGCAAGGCAGAAGTCTGGTTTCTAACAAGATAAACTACGAGGCAAAAATCTTTTTCCTACAGAGGAAATTGGATTCTTTCTCAGCAAAACAGCCCTTTACTCACCACAACAGCATCTTTGGGAGAAAAATACTGGCAGCTCTGTGCTTATGATAAGCCACTAACCCAGATCTAAGCCCCCAATGTGATGTATGCCTGAAACCAGACAAAGCCTGCAATGAAACATTCCCTCCCGAGCTAGTCTGGATTTCAGCCCTTTAACTTAATCGATTGTTCTGACCTCTTTTTACATTGCTCTAAACAGAATCACAGTGGATTTCGCAGTAGAGCATGAAATGCTGACCCAGGCATGTTAGGGGCAATGAGAACAGTACTGGGTAGGTGCCTTGTGGCCTCAGGGCTGGGTGCCCATGGCAGTAGAAATATGGACAACATTTGCTACATATAAGTTAAGGCTTCCAGTGTTAATTGTGCCTCTTCTGGCTTCTGCACCCCCAGGTGCACGCTCCACACTCTTCTAGCGTGGACAGCCGGGGGGTGGCAATTGGCAGGAGAGCTGGAAAGATAGGGAGGATTACGTGTCTGCAGCAGTGGGAGAGCTGGGGTGGAGAAGGTTGCGTGAGTATTGAACCATTGCTGTTGAAAGGTGCTAGAGAAGGGTGCTGTGCCCCAGCATGCCTAGAGATGCTGAGCATTGAAGCTGTCTTCTGAATGAGATGTCAAACCAAGCTACTGACCCTCTGTGCCCACCAAAAATCCCCAGAGTTGGGGTGTTAGCCTTTAGGGTTGGAGCCAAATGCCAATAGCCATCCTAAGTTCCCCATGCCGGTTCACCTGGCTATGGGATTCTGTCACTTCCTGCCCTGAGCTGGCATGTGGTATTGCGGTTTAACAGTGTCATCCCAGATGTCGCTGTGTTTCAGTCCTGAACGGAACGTTTCCTATGTCTGGAATTGGTCAGCTCAGTTGCTTGAGGGCTTTTCTAAATGAAAACTGTCCTGTAAGTGCAGGACTGTGTGTTCCTCCTGCTTATCCATCCTGAGTGTAGTAGGTAACATGCCAAGCTAATGCACCTTTTTGGCAGCTGTTTCCTAGAGGGAAGTGAAGATGCCTGCTCGGGAGCTTCCTCTGGTGCCACTATGAGATGCCTGTTCCTTCTCTTTCAGCAATTCCCCTTACTGCATATGGACCGATGGCGGCAGCAGCGGCGGCAGCAGCTGTAGTGCGAGGGACAGGTAACTGCCACTTTCCTACCCGGTGAAGCAACCTGGCTGAGGTTTGCACTGGGCTATGAGAGGGGGGTGGGACGGGGTTGCATTTTGGGATCTTCACCATGTAGTTTTGCTTTCTCCCTTAGGTTCTACTCCGAGCCGCACTGGTGGGTTTCTGGGCACTACCAGTCCTGGGCCAATGGCAGAGCTTTACGGAGCAGCCAATCAGGATTCAGGGGTCAGCAGTTACATCAGTGCTGCGAGTCCAGCTCCAAGTACTGGCTTTGGTCACAGCCTAGGGGTGAGTGTTTCACACCCAGCTGTTGAGGTTGGGAGGTAGAAGGAGGTGGGGTATGTATAAATCATGAAATCTTTTGGGAGGGTGATTTCTACAGCTATGAATACCCAAATGATGACAGCTGCAGGCAACCTCAAGGCTTGGTTACTGCAATATACACTTCCTAGGCATAAAAACACTCCGCTTAAGGCCCCAATTGGTTCGTAATGCAGCAACCTACTTAGCTTACAGAACAGGCTGCTGAGTGCATATCACCCCAGAGCTCTGCTCTCTACACTGGTTCCCCATTGAATACCAAGTCAAGTGCTAGGGCTTGGTCCTACTCTTCAAAGCCCTCCATGGAACTGGCCCAAGCTACCCAAGGGCCTATTACCTCACTCTGATCATAGCCTGCCATGACAGCTACGTTCCTCTGGGCCGATGGAACTGGCACCTCAAGGGTGAGACTCATGAGCAGTGGAAACCGCTTTCCCAGCAGCTGGGCCGTGACTGAACTCACCGTTGTAAGTGTTCAGAAAGACCACAACCATTCGTCACCGTCAGAATGAAACACAGAACTCCCTTCCAAGGGTGGAACGCACAGGGGTCCCCGGGAATAACACAAGGCTGGACAGGGACGGGGAGAGTGCAGAGCAAATATCTGCTAGCTGCATGTTTCCCTGTGGAATGTGGGGCTACAGCTGGGCGAGGACTCTGCTGGGGGATATTAGGTGGCTCTGAAGAGACAGTCTAGTGATGGCATGTTTCCTGAGTGGGACTGTATCACTCCATGTAAATCTCAGGGTGCCGAGAGGCCTCCTCATAGTGGATTGGGGGGCTAAATGATTCCAGTCAGATCTCTAAAGGGGGTAGGGCTGTCCTTAGGAATAGTACATTTAGGGAGCTGTGTCATTGACATCCCAGTAAATTCCTACGAGGGGGAGGGACGGATGGACAAATCACACTCATGGACTCAACCTCTTTCCTGTGGTTTGTCTAATCAGGGGATTTGAATTCTTCCTCTGTAGGGTCCCTTGATTGCAACGGCTTTTACCAATGGGTACCACTGAAGCTAGCGACCAAGGAGGCAGGAGGTAAGATGTTTGAACAGGAGGGGGCGGGAAGAGTGTGAGAGGAGTGAAGCTAGGCTCAGGAGGGGATTTTATTATTGAGTTACACTGAGAGTTTCCTATTGGTTGGGCCAACGTTCAGGGGCTTCATCTGAAGATGAGAGCAAGGAGGCCAGCGAGGGGCTGCATTTTTGTCCTGTCCACCCAGTAACCCAGGTTCTAATTCCTTGTCCCAGTCTCTGGTCCCCAAGCTTGAAGTGCTGCAGAGGCATTCCATTGAGTGTGGGCAGGAAGGGAAAGGAAATGGTGTTTTGCTTGAGTAACCTCTTTGGCCAGTTAGAGTGTCACTGTTGGGCTCTAAAGGGAAGCTCCTCCAGGACTCTGAGGCCAGAAGAATAATTGGCTGTGCCCCAGTGGTGGCAGGGAGAAGGGGGAGCACTCAGTTGGAAGGGTGTGGAGTGAGGGAAATGGAGACCTGGTAGAAATAGGGGAGTTGATGGAGACGGACAGGCACAGTTGGCCAAAATCCTAAGGCAATGTGAGCTCTTGCACCTGCACTCTGAAAGACAAGCCCCTCCCACCCTTTTACTTTGCACTACCATGCATGCAGCTAACTCGGCAAATCTTACTGCTGCTGAGAGCACTGCATCGCTGGAGTGGTGTTTCCTCTCCATGGAGGTGGTCAGTGGAGAGAAAAGAGGCTTCCACATCCAGATGGGAGAGGGGAAAATCCTACATGCAGTTCCAGCTGTGTCCCTTAGAAGGGGGTGAGGGGGAGCTGTTGGAGGGTCTCGGTGCACACCTCAAAAGTGGCAGAAGTTTGGTAGTTTAAAAAGAGAAATGTGACTGAAATGAGTAGGGCAGATGTTTCCAGGGAAAGGGAGTGACTGGGCTGCTTCTCTCCAACCAGGGATAACTTGAGTTCAGTTTGCAGCATATAACTAGCCTCATCTTTAATACAGAAGTTTGACCCAGGGAGCCTGCAGATCTTAGCATTTAGTACTCCTTGCTCCAAGAAGTCAGGCTGCATTGCATGCTGGGGCTTGTCCCTTTGGCCCACACCTTCATGTTAAAGATGGGGACAGTTGCATTCTTCCCCACTTCTTTGCCAGTCGGTGCGATCTTCATGCGACTGCCCAGGTGCCAGCACAATCCTGCATTAGGGGAAGTTTGGACACCCCCTGTTGCTGTTAGACAAGACAAAAAACTGAAAAGTTGTTAGGGTTTTTTTTTTTTGTTTCTGTCTCCTCTACCCCCCCGTACTCTCCACCTCTGCTGGTCTCCTGCAGATTCCCCAGTGACCTAACCAAGGACAGCGGGCTGGAGGATCTGGTGAGCCTTGGGGGATGAGCCAAGGTTTCCTTTTTATTGAATAAAACTGCACACTGCCGGCTGGCTGCCAGGCTCCTGCTGACCTGCCCTGATCTCTCCCATTGAACAGACCACACTGGACTGAACCCAAGGAGATCATCTCGCTTTCTTACTAACCACCGATGGTTTACGCTTCTCCCTCCCCCAACCCACCGATTCTTCTTTATTTATTTTATTAGCTGGTAGTTTTATTTTTTATTTTATTTTTTTATCTTTATTTTTTTGGGGGGTGACCCTCTTTTTCATTGTTTGCTCTTTCCTGAGCTAGTAGACATATTTTATGAATTGGCTTTGTGATCGTGTTAGATAGTTTTTAATGAGGAGTATTTTTATTTGGCTTTGAAATTGTTTTGAATCTTTTCAACTCTGTTGTTGTCAACATTTTTAAAGGACAGTATGTGATGTGAATGCAGTTCTGAAGGGAAGAGAGACACAGAGAGAGAGAACGCTGAGCAGAACTGACGCATTTCTTTTTTTTTTTAAAGAAACTGTTTTTAATTGTTTCTGTTTTGTAAATGTGAGGTTTTGAAATGTGTGAAGCTCCAAGGATCTGAAAAGGTGGGACATCGCTACGGAACAAAACAAAATGTATATTTTGCTAAGTAAAAACACTACCCTTACAGCTGAAAGTATTTTTGTTTTCCTAGATTTAGTTTTACGTGGGGTTTTCTTTTTCCTAGTGTATAATATGTAAATATCGTGAGGTGAACCTGGCTGCAGCCTGACTCAAGGAGCAGCTCCAGGTTCCTGAACCTGGCACCTCAGTGTGAGCAATATTCTCCAGCAGAATCCTGACAGGACTCCTTTCTTTTTTTGTACACCTTTTACTGTAAGATTTTAAGACCTCTGAGATGAAGGGGGGAGAGAGGGGAATGAAACTTACCGGCCATCGGCTATTTTGCTGAGCGGGTTAAAGCTGCTTCCAGTCAATGTACAGACTCCACCACTGGGCTCCCTAAGTGCCAGCATCTGGTTTGGCTAGGCAAAGGGCTTTACTGCCCCTGCTTGTCTTTGTTATTTTGAACGGAATTGACTCTCCAAACAGTATTGCTTGTGTCAAGATGGTCTGGGGAAGGGCATCATCTTCTAGGGGGCAGGGTACTTGGAAGGGCTCGTTGTCAGGGGTGGGATGTGGGGGTGGTCATTCTCTGAAGGGCAGGGCATTGGGTGGGGGAAGTCATTAACTAGGGAGGGAAAAGCACTGGGGGTGGTACTGTATGGGGGAAGGGTGAGTAAAGGGCTTCTCAGGGATCATATGAATTCTAGAATCACAGCTTCCCATTTGCTTTCCTCTGTGTCCTGAAATCTGTGGGAGTTCGTCCTCTGTCCTGTAATTTGATTATATGGTCCCTTCTCCTGAGGCTGCCCAAGCCCTTGTTAACAAGTGGCCTCTGCTGGGGGGTTGCCTCAAGCAGGAATTTAAGGGGCAGGTTTGGGTCTGGATTTGTTTTAAGTGAACCAAAGACCTTGTTAAGGGGGGTGATTAAGCCTTTTATTAAGATGCAGCCCAACACTTTTCCCAGGGAAATAATGTAGCTTCATCTTAAGTTTTAAAAATCATTCCCTCTCTTCTCCCAAAATGAGCCCCAGTAAGTGAGAGGATTGGAGGGGGGCCACGGTGCCCAAATGGACCCCTTCTTCCCTTCCACTTCCCTAGCTGCATTGTGGCTAGTTTTGAGACCCAGCAGTGTGGGCCGTGCCTGACCAAGCAATACATTTGGAGAGCTCTGTTTAGTAAGAGGTACTTAATGGGTTAGTACTGAAAACACAAAGCAATAATTTTTGTTACTGAGACAAGAGTCTGTATGTCTGGGTTTTTTTAATATTTCCTAATTAAAGAAGAGCTGCATTGTATTGGGTTTATTTTTATTCTGTATACTTCAAATTTGGGTCTGCAGACAGCGCTTTCTTCCCTCTTGGTACATGCGCTGAGCTGCTTCTGTGCCCCCTTCCACACACCTCCCAGCCCCACTGTATTGCCACTGGGCTGTGAGTCGCTCTCCAGCCAGTGCTGCTGCTGCCCAGAGGCTGGGGCTCCGGTTTGAGGGTGGGCATTTTTTAAAAAGAAATCAAGCTATGTTTTGAAGCCAGTAAGTTATTACACTCCAATGTTTGTTCTCTCCACACCTGTAACCCTTTTTCCAGATTTCAGTTTTAAATTCCTAATAAATTATTTGAAAATGATCCTTTTCAGTTGTGGTATCTGTATGAGTGGCTCTGAATTGGGGAAAGCTTCACCCAGGTTTGGGGATGCTGGGAATCTTGCCCTGTGGTTAGCACACAAGCCTGGGAGCCACAGACCTGGCATTCAACTCCCAGCTCTGGTACATCCCTTAACTCTCTTTTGACCATCTGTTTCCCATCTGTAAAACAGAGATGATAATTCTTCTCCACCTCACAGGGGTCATGCATGGATGTCTGTGGATTCCGGAAAGGGAGAAACGCACCAGGAAATCAGAAAGCCTGGAAGTATTCTTTGGATTTGCTGAACACAGCAGAACAAGGGAGTTAGATTGCAAGAAAGCAAATTGTGGAGAATAAAGAAATCTAGTGAATAAAGAGCACTGGGAGGAAGTATTAAAATCTGCTAGTGTACAAGAAAGTTGGAGAATCCTAAAAAGCACTCTAATTAATACACAACAGGTCACAATACTGCTGAGAGAAGAATGCAAATAATAAGCAGCAACTAGAATAGTTTCATGAAACACTGTTCAAAGATCTGCTGGCAAAAGTAACCCCAAGAGTCCTGATGGAGTCAGCATTTAATAATGGAAATTCTGCTGTGTTGTCACAGCTATCAAGGTGGGAGGCTTTGGGATAGACTGATCCCTGAAGACCAGAGCTTTCATCTAGTATCCTTCAGTGATAGAATGAAATGTATCCTGTTTCTCCTTGTTTGGTGTCTGGGTGATGCTCACTAACTTGCTTTCCCACACTTTAGGATTGGTTGTCTGGAAATCACCAGACACAAATGCTCAGACTTTAATTGTACCTGCCACACGTGGGCCTTATGTACATGGGGGACACAAAAATACACAACACACAACCATCGAGTTGTTCTTTGGGAGCACACACGCTAAAACTGGAGAGGAAAGGAACCCCAGAAAGTGAAGGTTTACAGGCAAAAGGAAAGGGCAATAAAAGGAATATGTTAAGAGTAGAGTAGCGGAGAACAAGAAGGCTTACAAGTATATAAAAGTGAAAATAGTAGCGGAAAAGGTGAAACTGTGATTCTAAAGCAACTGAGATACTGAATTGTTTTAAATCTGGCTTTAATAAGAAGTTTGGACAATTGATTCAAGAGAATCTTGAACTATTTGGAAAATGAACACATACTTAAGCAAATGCTCTGAATAATCTGTATCTCGGTGTAAAGGGAATTAATTAATTCACTTTCTGAACCAATGAGTGGGAGTCTTAGAGAACTGGGGAGGAAACCAAGAGTTTAAAAAACAACAAACAGCACATGGGACACAAAAAAAGAGGAAAAAAGTAACCCTGGTAGTTGCAACCAGTAAAATTAGCTACAGGCCCTTAATACAATTATAGTGAGAATCTGAGTAGAGGCCTAGTCTACACTGAGAATTTAAGGCAGTTCTTCCACCCTTTTTCTAGCCCTTGTGCAGCTCCACCAGTGTTTGAAATGGTAGGAGCACTAGTGTAGACTGGTCACCCAGTGGTTTTGGCACCATGTTAACTAGACCTACTCTGAGCAGGCATAGAAGACAGGTTGGTAAGGATGTAAGTGGTCAGTCTCCCACTTTTGCTAGTTTTGGTGAGGTGGTACAGGTACTAGACATAGTGGGAGAATTGGCTAAAAGTCTCAGTGTAGTTGCATCCCTAGAGGATGATGGAACCATAAGTAATAAATATGGAAAGTTTTTATTTACAAAAATAGTTCTGGAGAGACTTGAGCACGCAAAGCACAAAATGAGCTAAATGAAACATAGTAGCTGGAATATCTGGATATTAGTAAAGCACATGAATGAAACTTGTCCATAAAAATTGAGACATTGAAAAGTGTCAGAAGGACCACAGATTAAGGGGCATAATTCATAGATTCTAGGACTGGAAGGGACCTCGAGAGGTCATTGAGTCCAGTCCCCTGCCCTCATGGCAGGACCAAATACTGTCTAGACCATCCCTGATAGACATTTATCTAACCTACTCTTAAATATCTCCAGAGATGGAGATTCCACAACCTCCTTAGGCAATTTATTCCAGTGTTTAACCACCCTGACAGGAACTTTTTCCTAATGTCCAACCTAAACCTCCCTTGCTGCAGTTTAAGCCCATTGCTTCTTGTTCTATCCTTAGAGGCTAAGGTGAACACGTTTTCTCCCTCCTCATGACACCCTTTTAGATACCTGAAAACTGCTATCATGTCCCCTCTGTCTTCTCTTTTCCAAACTAAACAAACCCAATTCTTTCAGCCTTCCTTCATAGGTCATGTTCTCAAGACCTTTAATCATTCTTGTTGCTCTTCTCTGGACCCTCTCCAGTTTCTCCACATCTTTCTTGAAATGCGGTGCCCAGAACTGGACACAATACTCCAGTTGAGGCCTAACCAGCACAGAGTAGAGCGGAAGAATGACTTCTCGTGTCTTGCTCACAACACACCTGTTAATGCATCCCAGAATCATGTTTGCTTTTTTTGCAACAGCATCACACTGTTGACTCATATTTAGCTTGTGGTCCACTATAACCCCTAGATCCCTTTCTGCCGTACTCCTTCCTAGACAGTCTCTTCCCATTCTGTATGTGTGAAACTGATTTTTCCTTCCTAAGTGGAGCACTTTGCATTTGTCTTTGTTAAACTTCATCCTGTTTACCGCAGACCATTTCTCCAATTTGTCCAGATCATTTTGAATTATGACCCTGTCCTCCAAAGCAGTTGCAATCCCTCCCAGTTTGGTATCATCTGCAAACTTAATAAGTGTACTTTCTATGCCAATATCTGAGTCATTGAAGATATTGAACAGAGCCGGTCCCAAAACAGACCCCTGCGGAACCCCACTCGTTATACCTTTCCAGCAGGATTGGGAACCATTAATAACTACTCTCTGAGTATGGTTATCCAGCCAGTTATGCACCCACCTTATAGTAGCCCCATCTACATTGTATTTGCCTAGTTTATCAATAAGAATATCATGCAAGACCGTATCAAATGCCTTACTAAAGTGTAGGTATACCACATCCACCGCTTCTCCCTTATCCACAAGACTCGTTATCCTATCAAAGAAAGCTATCAGATTGGTTTGACACGATTTGTTCTTTACAAATCCATGCTGGCTATTCTCTATCACCTTACCACCTTCCAAGTGTTTGCAGATGATTTCCTTAATTACTTGCTCAATTATCTTCCCTGGCACAGAAGTTAAACTAACTGGTCTGTAGTTTCCTGGATTGTTTTTATTTCCCTTTTTATAGATGGACACTATATTTGCACTTTTCCAGTCTTCTGGAATCTCTCTCGTCTCCCATGATTTTCCAAAGATAATAGGCTCAGATACCTCCTCTATTAGCTCCTTGAGTATTCTAGGATGCATTTCATCAGGCCCTGGTGACTTGCAGGCATCTAACTTTTCTAAGTGATTTTTATCTTGTTCTTTTTTTATTTTATCTTCTAAACCTACCCCCTTCCCATTAGCATTCACTATGTTAGGCATTCCTTCAGACTTCTCGGTGAAGACCGAAACAAAGAAGTCATTAAGCATCTCTGCCATTTCCAAGTTTCCTGTTACTGTTTCTCCCTCCTCACTGACCAGTGGGCCTACCCTGTCCTTGGTCTTCCTCTTGCTTCTAATGTATTGATAAAAAGTCTTCTTGTTTCCCTTTATTCCCGTAGCCAGTTTGAGCTCATTTTGTGCCTTTGCCTTTCTAATCTTGCCCCTGCATTCCTGTGTTGTTTGCCTATATTCATCCTTTGTAATCTGTCCTAGTTTCCATTTTTTATATGACTCCGTTTTATTTTTTAGATCATGCAAGATCTCGTAGTTAAGCCAAGGTGGTCTTTTGCCACGTTTTCTATCTTTCCTACCCAGCAGAATAGCTTGCTTTTGGGCCCTTAATAGTGTCCCTTTAAAAAACTGCCAACTCTCCTCAGTTGTTTTTCCCCTCAGTCTTGATTCCCATGGGACCTTACCTATCA